CTAGGTATAATTAGTTGCTTTGGGCTATGTTTAACTAGATGCTTCGGGTAATATAATACAAATTGAAAAATACGTACTTGCATCCCTAGCAGCAAAGGGTTAACTAAAAAAAATTACTTTAACTATAAAATAATCCCTTGCTTATCCTTTATGATCTATGAGTTTATTGTTTTATTTTTAAAGATAGGTACTTCATAGGAGCTCTGGTAGCCTAGTGCCTAAGGCATTTCACTGCTAACCAGAAGGCTGGCGGGTCAAACCCACCAGCCACTCCTCGGAAGATTGGACGATCTACTTCCGTAATGATACCACCTCGGAAACCCAAGGATGGATTGCTATGAGTCGGATCCTACTTGATGGCAGTGAGTTTGGTTTGTTTTTTGGTTTAGGTACCTCATTCTCTATGAGTGTGTGATACATTGTAAATAAGCTTTCTCAAAATTTTGAGAAATTGAGATCTCAAAACAATTATATAAAGAAAGGTATTAGAATATACTTTCAGTCTAATAAATTTACAATTGTATCACTTGTACATATAAATTTTTGCAGAGAGCCACACCACCACCAAATTTTTTTGCCATGCATTATTTTTAAAAATTCTGAAGATTTCGTATTTGCAAGGTGAACTGAATAGACCAAGTATCATATTAGAGTTATTTTCCTTCTCACTACTATGCATTAAAAACTCAAACCCACCGCCATAGATATGATTCTGACTCATAGAGATCTATAGCACAGAGTAGAAATGCCCCATGGTGTTTCCTAGACTGTAAATTGTTTTGAAAGCAGAGTGTCTCATCTTTCTCTCACAGAATGGCTGGAGGGTTCAAACTGCTGGCCTTTTGATTAGCATCCAAGGCATCACCAGAGCTCCTAAAACCAAACCCACTGCATTGAGTGGATTCTGACTCGTACTTACCCTGTGCACTACAAAGTTAAAAATTAGTATAGAACAAATAGCGTATCTGTTGTCCTGTCAATAGAACTCAATTTTCTTGATGGATGAGTGGATAAGATTAGTTCTTATTTCTCTTTGTTTGATACATGATATCAAGACAATCACAATTTCTCAAAGTAATATAGCAAAACAACAAGACTACATGAAGCAACTTCAAAATTATTAAACTAGTAGCCTATGTCAGATTTAATGGTCAAAGGCACTTAACTGCCTACAAAGTTAGCAAATACTTCAGATTACAAAATTAATAGATTGATAAATTAACTAGACATCTATTAAAATATCAATCCAGGAAGCAATACTATAGTATGCTTTGTTATTTTTAGTTTTAACACTAATAACTAACCCATTAATGTGAACAATGTGGAAATTATAATTATGTGGTGTAGTGGAAAAGCATCTTGACTGCTAACCAGAGGGTCAGCAGTTCAAACCCACCAGTTGCTCTGCAGAAGGACGACGGGGTGACTTGATGGCAGTGAGGTTTTTTTTTTTTGGTTTTGTATTTATTTGTTGCTATCATACTATATGCTCTGTTTGAAATGACATTTTATTAATTTAACTGACATAAAATTTTAAAAAAGTGTATCCTCTAGCTGATCGGTTTTATTTCTTCCTAAATATCAGTGGTATAGTAATTAAAATACATTAATTGAAATTTAATAATGATGTAGTATTTACACATTGGGTACAAAAGAAAACTGAACTTCAAACAGGTTAATCCTGTGTATCGTATTGCTGTAATTAAGTCACTTCGTTACTGAATGTACACATTCGGTTGGTAAACGATGCTAATCACTTTGTGCTGCTCCTCAGCATAAAACATTTAATAGAGAAAGTGGAAAAGACACTGGAAAATGATGACACAAAGTTCAAAACTTGAAACAGTATACATTATCTGAAAGTTGTTTGCCTTCATAGTATCATTTCTTGTCAGTATTCACCATGAAGCAATAACTTACTTAAAAATATATTTTGGAAATAAATGAACCTCTGATACATGTATAAACATCACTGAATTCTCTCCCTAATTCTATTTCCCATAATTCCCTCTCAGCCACAAACACACTGACCTATTTCTATGGTAGATACACTCATATGTCTGTTTCCATATGTCTGTACAGTTTTCAGTCGCCCTTGCTTCCCTCTGGAACTGTAGAATGTGAGGCAGTTGTAGGAGCTAAAGAATTAAATGGTATAAATGCCCACCCCAAACTCACTAGGTGGAGTCCAAGTCATAGTAAGCCTATGGGACAGAGTGGAACTGCCTGATAGGGTTTCCAAGGCTGTAAATATTTACTCAAGCTGACTGCCATATCTTTCTCCCTCAGAGCAGCTGGTAGGTCACAGACCTCTCACTTGGTGTCATCGTTGTTGTTGTTGTTGTTGTTATGTGCTGTCGAGTCAGACCTGACTCATAGCGACCCCTCCTTGGGTTTTCGAGGGAGTATCACTACACAAGTAGATTGCCCCATCTTCCTTCCGAGGAGTGACTGTTGGGTTTGAACCGCCAGCCTTCTAGTTAGCAGTCAAGTGCCTTAGGCACTATGCTACCAGAGCTCCTTTTAGTGTCATCAGGGGTCCTTTATAAAAATACATCTTTCTTAAATCCTTTGAGTAGAAAAGGGAGGAAAAATCCAGTCACATAATTTTATAACTTTGCCCTTTCTAGTTTTCCTTTAGATTATTTGTTAAAAAGAAAAAGGAAAATTATTAAATTTTCATGCACTCTGCAGAGCCTTCCCTTGGTTTATAAAATGAAAAGGAAAGGAAATATTAACTGATTCATTGTCCAAGGAAAGTCATTACCTGCCTGTGTGTTTTGAAAAATTCTTAGTCCTTTGGGTCTCAACTCTCATACACTATACTCTTTTAGGATGTGACCTCACTGAGTTTCTTACCCTAAGTCCAAGGTCATGAGAGTACAGGCTTTATTCTGTTCTTGCCATCATCATAAGGAGCAGTGAGCATGGTTACAGAATATTTGTGTAGCCGATTTGGTTCAAATCTCAGTCTCTCTCTCTGTTTAAAAAATATTAAACAAGCTCTCTGATCTGATATGTTACTTAACTTAGCCAACATGCCTGGATACTTGCCTTACAAAAAATGTGTGATTTGTGATTTTATTGAAACTGAAAATATCTATTAAAAGTCATTCGTCTGTGGAATTTCTCTGAACCAAGTAGATTATAGACCAGCAGAGATGTATAAGCTGGGCCAGGAATTCCAGTCCTTGGGAGGCTGAGTATGCTTCTCTGTGGATGAAAGTGGATACAAGCATTAGGCACCAATCCTGTCTGTGTTCCTCTTACAGCTGCCTGAACAATTTCTTCTCATTGGTCATGGCAACTTCCTGAATAGCCTGTCTGCCACTAGGAGTGTGAGAAATGATGATGCCCTGCAGGAATCACAACAATACCATCCACTAGGACAGATCTTGCAGAAGGTCACAGTGAGGATGTGCAAAAATCTCATCACCAAACCACAGATCCCAGAAGCCTTGGTTCTATCTCAAACCATAATGTCACTTTCTTATTTTATCCTTCATCTTTTGACATTAAACAAAAACAAATCAAGATAAATTCTGCTTGATATAAACCCACATTTCCTAGTTAAATAATAAATGAACATCACAGAAAATGGTCAGGGTTTTCTGTGAAAGTCCTATATGCTGAGTTGTAAATGTGTATTACCACTCCCTATAAGGCCTCTCCCCAGAAGAAAAATACATAGCTCTGCAAAGATAGTTTTGGGGAATTTCTGTTAGTTCTTTAAGACTTTTTTATACAACTGGCAATCTCTGGATTTTAAAAAATATCAATATCTTTTCAGGACTCTTATTCTCTAATACCAGAACTAAAACCCATTGTCGTCAAGTCAATTCTGACTCACAGCGACCCTATAGGACAGAGTAGAACTGCCCCATAGTGTTTCCAGGGTTGTAAATCTTTACAGAAGCAGACTGCCTCATCTTTCTCCTTGAAGGGTAGATGTTGTTGTTGTTATTTGCTGTCGAGTCGGCCCCAACTCATAGCGACCCCTCCTTGGGTTTCCGAGGCAGTATCACTACGGAAGTAGGATTGCCCAGCCTTCCTTCCGAGGAGTGGCTGGTGGGTTTGAACTGCCAGCCTTCTGGTTAGCAGTCAAGTGCCTTAGGCACTATGCTACCAGAGCTCCTTGCAGGGTGGATAGTGGGTTCCAATTGCTCACCTGTTGGTTAGCAGCTGAATGCCATACCCACTGCACCACCAGAGGTTCTTCTCCAATAAGGGATAGGAAAAAGAGCATTTGAGAGTTTCTGTCTTTTAAAGTTAATATGAAGAAGTACAAGTCTGCAACCCCTCAGAGTTTCTCAAGCAAGAGTTACTACCCCCTTGAATGGATTACCTGATCTGATATACTTGCATTTCAGTAAAACAGGGATGCTGGTGTAGAGCTCTAAAAGCTATATTATTTCAACAGCAAAGACAATAATATTAAAAATAAAATAGAAAAAAAAAAAAAGAAAATCAAACGCACACAAGCACAGAACAAATAAACCAAACCAAAACTGCAAGTATTTGAAGTCTTTCCTACATTATTTTGAATGAAATATTTATTTTTTAATTTCTGTAATAAATTTTGTCCCTTTACTAACAATGTTGCTCAACTAAAATCCATTGCTTTGCCAATATTGCATTGATATTGTAGGTTCAATCAAACAGTAAGCAAACTAAGGGATTTCAAAAATCCTCTGTAAGGTTTCATCTCTGAAACAATTCCTATTCTACTTCGAAAATTTCCACTTCATATGTGTTTTAAAAGAACACTACATGATCATTAGAATACTCATTATTTCATACAAATTTTGCTTATAAAAGCCTATTTTTGTGACAAGCCAAGTATCTCTTTGACAGTAGAAGAACAGAGATATATTTCAGAACACCTTTCATTGTGTCATCATGTGAGGTGCATCTAAGCAACAAGAGGAGAGTGAGACTCTGCATTAGGAAGAGGCATGATAACACTGCTGAGGAGTTAGGCAAATCAGATGGTAAATTACCTTTGAGAGGTCCCCAGCCTCCAAATAGAAGCAGATAACAAACACATTCCATGTAACCCAGAGGACTAGCCAGACAGCATACTGTAGAGAAGCAAGAGAGAAATAACACATAATTAATTTAGAATCAGCTGAATAAGATTTAGATAGAGTTTAAACTTTTGAACACTCAAATCACAAGATTAATGGGAGATATTACATATTGTTTCTTCCTAAGAAACTGGATTAAATGCACATTTTCCTCTCTTTTTTTTTTCTCACTGTAATGGTCTTTTGCAATATACAGTTTAAAAGTTTTTAAAAATAATTTTAAGGTTTTTAGATGAAAGAAATAGCCTGCACTTCTGTTTCAATGCTAAATAATGATTGACTTCTAGACAAAAGAAAAAAAAGATAGATGCTCCAATAGGCATTATCAAAAGCAACACAACTCATCAAAAAGAAAACTCCTATCTTCCTTCAGGAAAACTATCCTGTACAAAATTTTCTCCAAGTGACCTGGGGTCATCTTCAGCTTGGTTCTTTTGCCTCTGTTCCATGTAATGAGCTACTAAGCTGATTTTCTCTCCTTGGTGCCTCCTTTCCATTTCTCTGTTCACCTTATTTTATCCTCTCATGATCTCCCTTTACAGAGACCATCTAGTTATTATTTCTAATTTCATTCTGTTTTCTGTTCAGTGTACCTTCTACATTTATGATAAATTACCTTTCCAAGACATATCTCTGGTCATTCAGTCAATTAAAATTTATTAAGCACCTTGAAGGCAATATGCTAGGAGACACTCAAGGTACAAAATATGGTGAGAAATTCTGCCTGATGTCAAGTAATGGAGATAAGTAAGAAAAGAAAAGAAGAAGAAGAAGAAAAAAATATATATATATATACATATACATATAGGAATTACAGTTAGTTATGGTTTGAACACAAGGAAAGATGAAAGGATGCATTGCCAATCCTGGGAAAAGTCAGCCAGAAGGGAGACACAAGGTGTCTTAAAGGATTTAAACAAATAAAAGTGAGTATATTTGAAGAGGCTATGGTAGGAGCACACTGTAAACAAAGGAAACAAAAGATCAAAATTGAAAAAAAAAATTGGAAAAAGGGTACTATGTCACTTCCTTGCTAAAGAAACACCAATGGATTCCATCCTTCAGATGATGCATTCCAAATTCTTTATTTTACGATTCAAGGGGCTCCACGATCTTGTATAGTGTTATCTTTTCACCCCCATATTTCAGTTTATTTCTCTAGTCACCCTGGGTTCCAGACATGAAATTACTTGCTACTCCATGAACATGGAAAGCCATGGACCATCTCTCTGCACAGTTCAAATATTACCTCCTGAGTACTAATCAACAAGAATTGGTATTTCAGTATTTACTATTTCAGTAAGGCTTTGTTTGCCTTAATTTCATTCCAAATGCCTTATATCTAATTATTTGTATATTTTCTCTAATGCATATGATAAGCTCCTTGAGAAAAGGGACTATTTTTTATTCATGTTTTTAACCTTTGTAGTTTCTAAGTTAGTACTTTCCACAAAGGAGATATTCAGAAAATATTTTATGAATGAATGAATGAATGAGTAGACATGTGGAGAAATATTTTTTTTCAACTGAAAAATCCATCCTCCTTTTGCAGACCTGATTTTTGCTATAAGATATTAAGAATACTATTATCAGTCAAGAAGTCCATGAATAACACAAATGGTAAGTGCTTGGCTTGACTTCTAATAAAAAGCTTGGTAGCTTGAACCAACCCAGAGGCTTCTAGGAAGAAAGCCTTGTCGATTGCTTCCAAAGGTCATAACCTCGAAAACCCTATGGAGTGCAGTGCTATTGTGCAAATATGGGGTAACCATGAGTTAGTATTAACTAGATGACTTTTTTGGGGGATGGCTGGGTATTATCAGTAAAGTTCTCTGGGTGGTGTAAACAGTTTGTGCTCCACTGCTAGCCTGAAGGTTGGTGGTTTGAATTAAGCCAGCAGCATCATGGAGGAAAGGCCTGGAGATCTGCTTCCATGAAATTAGTCAAGAAAACCCTATGGCGCAGATCTGCTCTGACACGAGGTCACCATGAATATGAATGGACTCAATGGTGACGTGTTTTTGTTTTGTTGGTGTAATCATTCAGTAGTGTGAGGTGTAAGATCCCTTTGTAATAAGCTTGTTGTTGTTGTTGTTGTTATGTGCCGTCGAGTCGGCCCCGACTCATAGCGACCCCTCCTTGGGTTTCCGAGGCAGTATCACTACGGAAGTAGGATTGCCCAACCTTCCTTCCGAGGAGTGGCTGGTGGGTTTGAACCGCCAGCCTTCTGGCTAGCAGGCAAGTACTTTAGCCACTATGCTACCAGAGCTCCATATATATATATATATATATATATAAGCTTATGTAATAATAAATGATGACTCAGTTGTTCTCTTAGTTTGATGGGGTAAGGTAACTGCTAACTTTGTGTATTGCTTAATGAAATATAAACGGAAGGCAAAAATTAAATAGTACAAGACAAAAGAGGAAATTTGAGAGGCTATATGGGTGAAGAGCCACTCATCTGTCGTTTGTCATACTCTGGTGGCTTGCATGTTGCTGTGATGCTAGAAGCTATACCACTGGTATTTCATATACCACCAGAGTCTCTCATGGTAGACAGGTTTCAGTGGAGCTTCCAGACTAAGACAAACTTGGAAGAAGGAGGTAGCCAGGTCCACTTCTGAAAAAATAAAAATTGGCCACTGAAAACCTTATGAATAGTAGGGAAACACTGTATGATATCGTGCCAGAAGATGAGCACCTCAGGTTGAAAAGCGTTCAAAATACAGTTGGGGAAATGCAGACTCCTCAAACTAGGGGCAAACTTAATGACATGGATGGAGTAAAGCTTTCTGGACCTTCATTCCCTGATGTGACACCTCTCAGAATGGGAAGAAACACGTCACCATTGAGTCCATTCATATTCATGGCGACCTCGTGTGTCAGAGCAGATCTGTGCCATAGGGTTTTCTTGATTAATTTCATGGAAGCAGATCTCCAGGCCTTTCCTCCATGGTGCTGCTGGGTTAATTCAAACCACTAACCTTCAGGTTAGCAGTCGAGCACAAACTGTCTACACCACCCAGGGAACTTTACTGATAATACTCACCCACTCCCCCCAAAAAAGTCATCTAGTCAATACTAACTCATGGTGACCACACATTTTCACAATAGCACTGCACTCCATAGGGTTTTCAAGGTTGTGACCTTTGGAAGCAGACTGCACATAGAATGTACAGAGTATGAATCTAGAAAAATGGGAAATTGGGAAAAATGAAATGAAATTCATAAAGATCAATACCCTAGGCATCATTGAGCTGAAACTGAGTGGTACTGGCCATTTTGAATCAATCATATAGTCTATTATGCTGGGATGACAAACTGAAGAGGAATGGCATCACATTCAAAATCAACAGACACATTTCATGATGTATCCTGAAGTACAATGCTGTCAGTGATAGGATAATATCCATATGCCTATAGGTTGTTGGAGGAGCTCTGGTAGCATAGTGCCTAAGGTACTTGACTGCTCACCAGAAGGCTGGCGGTTCAAACCCACCAGCCACTCCTCGGAAGGAAGGTTGGGCAATCCTACCTCCATAGTGATACTGCCTTGGAAACCCAAGGAGGGGTCGCTATGAGTCAGGGCCGACTCGACGGCAAACAACAACAACAACAACAGGTTGATGGGGTAAGGTAATAGTAGTTAATACAATATGACTGTTATTCAAATGTACACACCAACCACTAAAGCCGTAGATGAAGAAATTAAAATTCTTATCAACTTTTGTAGTCTGAAATTGACCAAATATGCAATCAATATGTATTGATAACTACTGGTCATTGGAATGCAGAAATTGGAAACAACAAGAAGCATCAATAGTTGGGAATTATGGCCTTGGTGATAGAAATGACACTGGAAATCATATGATAGAATTTTGCACCATCAATGACTTATTCATTGCAAATATCCTTTTTAAACAACATAAATGGCAACCTACATATGGACCTCATGAGATAGAATACACAGGAATAGAATTGACTACATCTGTGGAAAGAAATTATGGAGAAGCTCAATATTATGAGTCAGAACAAGGCAAGGCACTGAATGTGGAATAGATAATCAATTGCTAATGTGCAAGTTTAAGTTGGACCTGAAGAAACTTAAACAAACAAACAAACAAACAAAAAAACTATAAGAACCAAAATAATGAAGAGACACATATTTGGCAAAATGTAGCACATTTGATAAACTGACAGATGAGTATCCACAAGACTCAAAGTATAAACTTGAGTATATCCCACTTTAATTTAGAGACCATCTCAAGAATAAATTTCATACACTGAACACTAATGACTGAAGAGAAGATGAGTTATGGGATGATGTCAAGGACATCATACAGAAAGGAAGCAAAAGGTCTTTAAAAAGACAGAAAAAGTAGAGAAGACCAAAATGGATGTCAGAAGAGACTCTGAAACTTTCTTTGAAAGGAGACTAGTTAAAGCAAATGGAAGAAATGATCAAATGAAAGAGGTGAACAGAAGATTTCAAAGGGCAGCATGAGAGAACAAAGTCAATTATTATAATGAAATTTGCAAAGACCTGGAGTTAGAAAACCTAAAGGGGAAAAACATACTCAGCATTTCTCAAGCTGAAAGCACTGAGAAAAAAAAAAAATCAAGCCTCAAGTTCTGACACTGAAGGTTTCTATGGGCAAAATATTGAGTGACGCAGGAAGCATCAAGAGAAGATCGAAAGAATATAAAGAGTCACTGTACCAAAAGAATTGGTTGACATTCAAAATTTCAGGAGGTAGCATATGATCAAGAACCAATGGTATTGAAGGAAGAAGACCAAGCTTCATTAAAAGAATTGCTGAAAAACAAGGTCCCAGGCACTGATGGAATGAATAACCATTTAAATCATTCAACAAATGGATGCAGCACTGGAGGTGCTTGCTCACTTATGCCAAGAAGTTTGGAAGACAACGACCTGGCCAATGGACTTGAATAGATCCATATTTGTGTCTTGTCCAAAATAAAGG